GGGGGGCGGGGTGTGTTAAACGACGTCTTTGGAATTGGGCTTTCTTGATACCATTAGCATTGATACCACTAAAAAAAAAAACTTCCTCAGATTTCTGTACTCAGCTAATTCAGAACTTCAAACATTACCTTTGCGATTTTTTAGAGAAAACACAAGCTTAAGTTGCAAAATCGCTAACAAATTAATTATCTACTCCTGGCTTGTTGATTAACTTTTACTTCGTAGACAGACAGATGTGGGCCTGAACAGATGTAGTTTGTGTCAGAAGCGTTAGATTCCGGAGCGTTCTTGTCCAGCGACGAACAAAGTGTGTCCCAATCTCCGGGAGTGTCGCTCACGTCAAGGTTTAATGACAATGACATACTTTCTGACTCTCAGACTCAGGCACTCACATACTTCCAAATTCTGAGACTAATGGACTCTCAGATTCTAAGACGCACAGACTCACATAGTCCCAGACTCATATACTCTCAGACCAACATACTCAGATCTCAAACTCACATATTCTCACTTTCTCGGACTCTCAGTCTAATAGACACAGACTCACAGACTCACAAACTCACAAACTCATATACTATCTGACTCACATACTCACATACTCACATATTCTCAAATTCTCAGACTGTCAGTCTGATAGACCCAGACTCACAGACTCACAGATTCACAGACTGCCAGTCTCACAAACTCTTGGATTCACACTCTCACTTACTCTCAGACTCACAAACTCACAAACTCACATACTCTCAGACTCACGTCTCAAATACTCGCACGCTCCCAGATTCTGAGACTAATGGACTCTCAGATTCTATGACGCACCAACCCACAGACTCACAGATTCACAGACTTACAGACTCACATACTCACATACTCTCAAACTCACTTATTCTCAGATTCTCAGACTCTCAGTCTGATAGACACAGACTCACAGACTCGCAGACTCACAGACCGTCAGTTTCACAAATGCTTGGATTCACACACTCACTTACTCTCAGACTCACATGCTCACACACTCACAGAG